TATGTGTGTGAGTACCCATTGTCATTGGAAGGAACCAACCATAGCAGTTGGTCCAGTGGATTTTCAGAGATTGTAAATGTCCAAAGAGAAGATTGTCTATCTTTTTCCAGTGGAGCAACTTGTAGATTCAAACAGCCTACTTGACTGACAGTGTAACTCCTTATTCACTAGTTCATCTGAGCTCACTTTACTTCAAATGGTAGAGCCTAATTTAAAAAAAAATAAATCGAGACATATGTAAACTTACAGCTGCATCTTGGGGCAGGTATCCAGCCACTGCTAGTACACTTTATTCTATTTCCCTTGGTTGCAGGATAGAAGCCTCTTTTGCACTGGTAAGTGACTTCATCTTCAGCTCTATGTACAATCCTTGCAGGTGAGAAGTCACCATTTACAATATAAGGAGGATTACATATGACTTCTGAAAAGAAATAAGATATAACACATTAGACTTCAAAAGCAGGCATTACTTATGTCTTTTTACTACAATAAAAATAACAAAAATGAGTACATCATCATAACTCCATGCTGTATTACTCACATATCCCTCCAGTACAGTCATAATCTGATGTGTCTGCGCCCCCGGGACTCATAAACTTTCTATTTCTCCAAAATTGTCACATGCATCATGGCATTGAATAGCTTGCAACAATTTCCTCTATCACTTCAAATGTTCATTCCACTTTCTCAATTTCCTTGGCTTCTGCTGTTGTTAAAGGGATCATTATGAGTTTCTGGTTCTCTTTCTCCAGACACAAAGCTATTTACTGAATATTTACTCTTCTGATGTGTTACTGTTGTGTTGTTGTTAGGTGCTGTCGAGTAAGTATGACTCATAGTGACCCTATGAAGAACAGACCTGTCATATCCTGTGCCATTACAATCATCTCTGACACCCTTGAGCCCATTGCTACAGTCACTGTGTTAATCCATCTTGTTGAGGGTCATCCTCTGTTTCACTGGCCCTCTGTCTTTCCAAGCATAATGCCTCTTTCCAAGGAATTGCCTCTACTAG